CCTAAAAAGAAAATTTTCAATGAAATTTTTTTGTTCGACAACCAAATGTTAAGTATGCTATTTTAATCAGTTTTGTTTGCTGATCTCAGATATGTTATTAGTTTTGCTTTAAAAAAATAAGAGAAGTGAAAAGAACGCAAAATAAGTGACATAGCGAAGGTCAGAGGTGAGTGTGTAATCTTTCTGACAGTTTGACCTACGCTTTTCGTAACCCTTAGTTCCTCACTCTTGCTCGTCTACGTCAGTTTCAATCGTGAGTGCTCCTTCTCAATGAATTTCCAGAACTACACAATAGTTAACCTTCATACTTTGACTGGATAATCTACAGTCGTCGAAGAGTATTTGTTGTGAGTTTGAAGTGGAACTGATGTTCTTAGAATGAGTTAGGAATTTTTCTCGGGAAGAACCTCATTTTCAGAGATGTTGCCCGTAAAATAGCTGTACTTCACTGACTACTAACAGCCAACTCACAAAATTTTATATCGTAGAGTAGTAGAGTCGTGGCTACATTTTGATTTGTGTTTCATTTTCTGTGGCTACATTTTAGTAAAAAGAAAAAGTTCTCGCCTGTCTTAGGTCAGGAGCTATTGATATTTTAAGACAAGACATAAATCGCTTATATCTCACAAACCATCTAGGAGTAGAGGCCCATACTTGTTGGGTGATCAGCATTCGGTGAGACCTATGACTACACAAAATTAGAAGTCCCTCACTCTCATGGTTCTAAGAACGTCAGTAAGAACACCGCTACTTTTGCGGAGTACTGTATTGAACGTATTTTATAGATTATCAATATTATTTTGGTTTTTACAGATTTTTCATGGCAACAATGCAGTACACAACACTTGGTACTACGGCCTTGAAAATAAGTCGTGTGGGACTGGGAGCCATGCCTTTATCGACCATCGGACGACCAGACAAACGTGAAGATGCCATTAAAGTAATTCATCGAACACTTGATTTAGGTATAAACTTAATTGATACATCTGATGCTTACTGTCTGGATGAAAACGAGAAGCATCATAATGAAAAATTAATTTATGAAGCATTACAAAGTTACAATGGAGATACATCCAATGTTGTTGTTGCCACGAAAGGTTAATGTTAGTTATCTCTTTTTCAATCTAAAATTAGAATATAAATTATAATTTTTATTCCTAGGTGGTATGGTACGACCAAATGGAGAGTGGCATACTGATTGTAATCCTAATCGTCTTCGTAAAACAATTCGTGAAAGCTATGAGGCACTCGGTGGTAAAGAATCGATTAAATTATGGCAACTACACGATTTTGATGACAAATATCCATTAGATCAAATATTTCAACCGATTCGTGAAGCAGTTGATCAAGGTTTAATAAAATATGTTGGAGTTTCTAATTTTAAAGTTGATCAGATCATTGAAGCAAGAAAATATGTTGATATATATTCGGTACAAAATCAATATAGTATAGTTCATCGTAAACCAGAACAAGATGGTGTGTTGAAATATTGTGATGAAAATAAAATTACATTATTAGCCTATCGTCCAGTTGGTGGTGCACCTGGTCATAAGAATATTGTAAAACAGAAATTATTAGTCGAGTTAGGAGCAAAATATAATTGTTCACCATATTGTATTGCATTAGCATGGCTAATGTCAAAATCCAAATGGGTTGTGCCAATTCCTGGTGCCAGTCATATTCAATCGATCGAAGATTCATCAAATGTTATTAATATTAGACTTGATCAAAATGATATACAACAAATAGATTTACAAAACTTTAAATAATTTCTTAGTGTTAAAATGAAGTTTTTTATTTACTGTTTTTATACTCATTAGGCTAGACTTACCTCAAAAGAGTATATGTGTAGGAGTTTCTTTTTATTTTTGACACGCTAAATTTACAGATAACGAAAATGATATTGATCAGATTTAGTTCTTTCAAATTAATTTAACATTGAATCAATCATCATTTGAAATGAAAAGAACATTCTAAATATTGACGTTCAAAAAAATAGTCTAAAAATAGTTATATAGCATTAAATATTTTATGAATGTTTAACGTGTACGTACAGAGAAGACTGAACGAGAAGTTTCTCAATTAGAATACAAGAAGAACTAAAAAGAAATTTATCATCCGACAAAAAAAAAATAATAATAATAATGACATATTTTAAAATGATGAAATAAATGAGTCGAGATCTTATTTTCATTCTCGAAAGTACAACCATAGTGTGCAAAAGATTATTACTATTTTTATAGAAAGAACGAAAAAACAAAAAAAAAAAAAACTAGAAATAATTTATTGGCTCAAAATATAGTTAATTCCACGTTTTACAAGTTAGAAAGAAAAGAACCAAAAACAACTAGAAACTGTCAGTATAAAATTGAGTTCATCTAAATATAAAAATAAAATAAAATATAAAAATATAAAAGTTTTCTAGCATTTTAATCATAGTTTATGTTTTAAATAAATGATTTCCGTTAGTTTTCTTCATTTATTTATAGTTCCATACAAAACAGAAAACTCCTGTTGATGAAAAAACAAAACGTCTATATATATATATATATATATAAGTGTATGTCTTGTTCTAGATGAAGTAAGCTAGAATCGTTTTTTTGTTTTTTTTCATAAAACGCAAATTTTCAATTAAAGATCAAAAATATGACTTTTTTGTACTATTGCATCGTCACCTTCTTCTGTACTGTATTATATCAATAGTGGGAGTTTTTGTTATTATTTTGTTTTTTGTACTTATTTTATAAAGTAAATTGACTAGTGACAACGAATATATGATTAATCAAAAGAATAAAATACACTTGTGTATTAGAAGAAACAAAAATCATAGGTAGATTTTTTATTGGTTTATATCGATTAGACATATTATTTTGAACTCATCTATTTTCATAGTGTCTCGATGAAGAATTTACACAGAAGACGTCTCATGGATCTTTATCATTTTTTATTTTTGATATTTTTTGATGGTGCCTAGATGAATATAAATGATTTTAACCTTTAATATGTCATATTATAATAAAAAGATGAAAATAATAGTCGTCATTTCTATTTGAATATAAACAAAAAAATAAAGTGATATGATGTACTTTTCTATTTCAAATATAAAGAAAAACAAAAAACCATGATTGACTCTTATATCCTTATATCATCACCCAGATGTTTTTTTGTGTTTCGAAATAAGAAAAAAAAGAAAAATGAAAAATTTGCGAGATATTTTTTTATGATTAATACATAATATCATTATTATTCATTCACTTTTTTTTTTTTCAATAATATAATAGTCATAGACGTAGGTATTCATGCGCTAACAAAACGTTTTCTTTAACTCATATATAATGACGTGTTTGAAAAACAGAAGAAGAAAATTATTTTATAGTTAACGTTGAATAATCATCACCTTGACTTCTATCACTAAATATATATGTCATTTTTAGACTGATCATTTTGTATCAAACAACTAGATTATCTAAATAATTCATCTATGTGTTACATATACCATAGATTTAACATATATATTGAAAACGAAAATATTCAATAGTAGAATATATATATTTTTTTTTTATCTATGTTTTTTATTTATTTTTTTTTATTTTTATTTTATAGATAAATATTATTTTTTTCTAACATTGAATTAAATATGACTCAAACTGAAACACGTCCACGTTTATGTCGTTCATCATATCAATCAAATATATTAGAATATATTGATACTTGTCCTCAAACAAAATCATTAAATGAATTATTTTCATCAAAATTAAGTTTATCATCATTAGATCAATTTAATAATACAATATTAGATCAATATCTTGTTTATATATTATGTTTAAAAATTATTGAAGATAATGATGATAAAAATTTATTTCAATTAATTCATCAATTATTATTAAAACATGGTCAAATTTCAAAATCAATTTTTGAATATACACCACCATTACCATCATTAACATCAAATACATTATATACAATGTATCAATCAATTTATAATACTTATTCAATGTTTATTTATAATGAATTTGATCTTGATGTTTTAATTGAAATTGGTTGTTTTCTATTAAAATATCGTTTATGTGATATATTTACAATATCGACAACAAATAAACAAACAACATTACGTACTAAATATATTGGATTTTTTATTGAAATTATTGCATTTTATTATATTTATTCAAATCATAATGAATTTTATACAAATAATCGACCAAATGAACAAATGTTTCAACGTAAAAATTTATTAACATCAATTGATCAAACATCTCAGATAACAACATTATCCATTTTAAAGTATGAATATTATTTTTTTGTATTATTTATTTTTAAATAATAGATTCTATCTCTTTAATTTTTTTTTTTTCATTTAATTTTAGTTCTCGACAATCTCAATCTCATAATGATTTATTTGAAAAATTTCTCAATATACTTTATCAAAATGGTGAAATACAATTTGATTTACGTCAAATAAAAAATCTATTACAAATGGAAGCCTATCAATTTATAAATAAAAAATTAGAAAATAAAAAAGTAGGTTTTATACAATTTATTGAAACAATTGATAAAAAATATGGACAAAATATGAAACCATCAACATTAAAATCTCTCTGTCGTTATCGTATAAAAATGTGTTTAAAACAGTTTCCAATTGATATTAGACAATTAAATATGTCTATATCAGAAAATTTACAAAAATATCTTTCATACGATAATAAATATATTTTTGAATCTTATGCATAATTTTAATAATTTTATTTATTTGTATATTTTTATTTTATATTTCAAAACCAAACAGTAATTCTTATTTAAGTTAATTTTATTAAATTATATTTAGTCATATTTTTGTTTGATCTTTTTGTTTTGTTTTGTTTTGTTTATTAATGACTATCCTGGGAAAGAATTCATTCCCGATTCGTCGACATTTTATCTCACTAACATCTTTTTTTATCTTCTCTCTGATGTTGTCGATGAGCCAGGAAAATCAGTCGATGAGCCCCAGAGGACATTGTGTGCACAGTCGACTGTTTCTCAACATCCTTATAAACGATCGTTTTTTTTCTTCCAAAAGTTATATCTCTGAACAGTGAAAAACACAGAAAAAAGGGTATCGTCCCGTTTCGTCGACAAATCGGGCACTTCAAAGAATATACATCAGAGAATTTCAAAGGCGGGAGGGGCGGTGTGAGAGTGAATGTCGACGAAACGGGACTAAATCAAAAAAAAGTAGAGAATATTTCATCATTTTCCCTATAAGATAATTAACGGTCACGTGATTCACTTGATAGTGAAAAATATGCAATATATGATGAAAGCTATATACTATAGTAGATAAATCTATGACACGATAATGAATCGGCTGATATAACAATGGACATTCTTCTTGAAAAATAGTCAAACTGTTATGACTTTCTGGATATTCTAATTAAGTCGACTGAGTGGAACTCAGGAGAATTATTGTTTTTCTCACCGAGCCTAGAAAACCCCCCTCCAATAAATGAGAATTTTGAAATTTTTAGCTAAGAAAATTAGATAATAGTATCTGTTGTTTTTACGTTCTAATGTCCAAAGAGAAAAAAGACACGCAGAGAAAAGAAAAGAGATGAAAGACAGACGTATTGAACTTGCATAATAATATTTATTTAAATCGAAGCTTTGTTTTTTTTTGTATTTTTGTGTCCTCTTAAACTATGTGAAAACTAAATAATAAACATATTTGTTTTTGTTTTCTTATTTTTTTCTCGTAGATTTGTTTGAAAAATAAACAGTATTTAATTTGATGCTATGAATTCTATTCTAATATTAGGGATTTTTTCGTTGGCACATATCTGTCAAAAATTTTTAAAACATTTACGCCCCCCTCCCCCCAAAAAAAACTAGACCCTTCGCGCGACCACTGGTCGGGGATGACACATCCAAAGCTACTTTGCGATGTATGCTTTAGTTATCAGTTATCCTATAATTGGTCGTGCAAAATGAGTATATTTTTTAGAAAACTATACTCCTATGAGATAATTAATAGTCACGTGATATCGTTCATAGTGAATATAAACTATAGTTGATACGATGAAAGTAAACTATATCAACTGATTCATTATCCTATCATACATTCTGCTATAGCTTTCATCGTATCAAACACGATATGAGTATCCTCTTTCTGTTGATTCTCCGTTGTCTTTTTGATAAACAGTCAAACTGTTACAACTTTCTAGGTCTTCTAATTTCGTTTGTTTATTGTTTCACACAGTCGACCTTCCAATCTTCCCGAAGGGCAGTTGGCTCTCTAGCTGCTTTTCACTACAAAAACTTCTTTCTTCTAGACCTACTTTTTCCTTTTAATCAGCCACTTGTCCTCATCTATCACTAATCGTATAAAATTGAGAAAAACATCATTCACGAGTGCAAGAGCTGGAGGTGAGGTGATACATCTGAAGTTATTTTATCGATATATGTTTTAATTATTAAGCAATGAGTCCTAAAAGGTGAGCATATTTTTAATAACTTCTCTATGAAATAATTAATTATCACGTGACACTTCATATATCGTCAGTTGTAGAGTGATTCACTAAGTAGTCACGCGCCACTTATCAGTTTATACTTCTGTATAGTTTGTTGACATTTATAGTCTAAAATATTGCCAATAGAATGCACCAAAATGTTTAATACTAGAGCACTGCAGTGTTCTAACCGTATGTAAGGGATTCAAACGGTGTCTAAAGTGTTTCTAAGAAACGTTTCACTCGGTCGGATTTCTAATCTGTCCCACGAGTGGTTAACCTCTAGTTTTTTTTCCTTCTTTTTTTTTGACCTTCTTTAAAAGTACATGAGGGTTTTTTGTACGAAGCATAGAAATAAAACGTAACCTCATTGATTTATTATGAGCAAAAAAAGAAAGTTTAGATATGAGAATACAATAAAAAGAAAACTCAACATGTTCATGTTGCATTGCACCCATTTCATTTCTTTTTTACGCTGCATTTACGAGAAGAAAAAAAAATGATATAAATTATCAGATGATGGATGTTCACTAGGATGAGTAATAAAAAATGATTGGCCTGTTATTATCTTGTCGTGTTTCATTTTTTTCTGATGTTTAATTGTACAAATGTATTTTTTTATTAACTAAAACTTTCCATCATACAGTTTGTCCTTTGTCAAGTGTTTCATTCATTTTTATTTTCATATTATGATCGATCACATTGATCAACTGCTGTTCTTTCACTATTCTACAACAAAAATTTCAGCTTTTTTTTTTAATAGCGACGTATAATAGTACTGAATTGACCGCTGCTCTGTTGAATGTATGTGTGTACAAAAGGTTTGTGTCAAAAATTTTCATATTTTTCCAACAAAGCAGACGGAAAAGAAGAAAGAGAAAGAACAGAAATCGTTTGTACGATAGTATAATATATGTTTGTGTTGACTGAATATCGTCTATTTTGACTTAAAACCGTGACAACCAACTTTCTTTTCATGATAAGTTTGTCTAACTGTTGACTTGTAACAATCTACATGTGTTTGTGTAGGAGGTTAGACAACGCATCTTTTCAGAAATGAAAAACGTTAGCTAACAGATTCATTTTTCAAATGTAGACGATTCAGTGAGAATCAGTTTTGGGTTTTAAATCACTTTAAACGTATGTTCTTGCCTATAATTAAATTTTTTTATTGAATTTTCGAAATTCATGAATCTGAATATTTAGAATTGACTGAGAACACAGAAATTAACTTCTTGACACACATGTTCATCAAAGAACTAACGATGGAATCTATGGAAGTGATACCTTCTGTTTTCCATGATTTATACATCAATCGGTAGAGTATATCGAGCTGGCGAAAACCCTAGAAGGTTTCATCCCCATGGTGCTTTGTTCAAAAGTTATAGCATTTTTTCGTTTTCAAGCCCCCTGCGGCCCGAAAACAGTAAAAATTCAATAACACAGCCAAAACTTTGCTGAACTCTCTATAACTCAGCTGACACTTTCTGTGATTATAATAGACATCTAGCACTACTACAGAAAAATTTCAGTCTTTCGTACCGTATTTTGGCTGGGTTATTAAATTTTTACTGTTTTCGAGTCGCAGGGGGCTTAAAAACGAAAAAATGCTATAACTTTTGAACAAAGTACCATGGGGATGAATCCTTTTAGGGTTTTTGCTAGCTTGATATACTCTATCGATTTATGTATAAATCATGGGAAACGCAGAGTATCGCCTCCATAGGTTCCCTCGTAAGAGCTAGTTGAAAATGTGATCTAAGCAGTGCAAAGGCGGCAGAACCACTAGGCTGGGTAAGGCTTAAGCCTTACCCGAATTTAGCTCTGTTAGGCTGAGCCTTACCCCATTTGATGTAGAATTTTGAATTTAGCACTATGTTATTTAGATAATACTTGGCTGCATTGACAGAAAGCCCTCATTTATCTGAATAAAAGATCAAAAGACGTTTGGCTGCATGTATTAAACTCTGCTTTTTTTCAGTGATCTTAAACGCAGAGAATAACATGAGATATGTGCAGTGAGGACAGAGGACTGGATCAGGATAAAATGTTAACTTTTGGTATCAGAAACGCCAAGAAACCTCTAAATATATATTGTCTTTTGTTCAAAATAGCGTAGTGATCCTTTAATCATATAGATATGCCATGTTTTTCAAACAAATTTACTTTGATTAGTCTAGCGCAAACTTTATCCGTCTTTTGGCCTTTTTGCTAGGAACGTCACTTTTTTTGGAGTCTGAGTAAAAACAGCTTAGATTCATGAAGCTCGAGCTGACATTTTATTTTGACGAATTGAACTCAAAAAAGTATTTCTTTGTTTGGTTGCTTGTTCTTGTTACGAAAACTTTTATTACGGAAAACTGCACTTTCTCGAAAAACTTTCTAAATTTGCTGCTTTTCTTACCGCGAGCCTTACCCCATTTGGGAACGTTCCGCCGCCTCTGAAGCAGTGCGTATCCTGTTTTCAATAAAAATGAAAAATACGATTTCGTTTTAGAAAAAAATTTTTGACTAGAATAAGCGTTAGAAATGGAAAAAAGATCCACGAAGTACAGCAATTTTGGACTAATCTGTAAATTAGTTTGAGATTATGAAAGAGCATTTTATCAAATTCGTCTTAATAAGACTAGAACATTTGACTCGTTTTTGTTCAACCTATAAAGATTTCTCATGAATAGTTTTTAGACGTTTTGAAAATGAATTCTATAAGTAGACATATTATCACAATAAATGATCTTTAGTTAGTTTTGTTGCACAGTTTAAACTGAAAAGTGTCATCTTGTCAAGTGTACGATTAAGAATGTGCTGCGAATAGGGGTGACACATTACTGTTACTTTTATGAGTAATCTAAATATTGTATATATTCCTATGTTGCTGGTAATAGGAATATATACAATATTTAGATTACTCATAAAAGTAACAGTAATGTGCCACCCCTAGCTGTGAACTAAGTATTCAGAGAATTGAAACATATACAGGATAAATTGTTAGTTTATTGTATGGCTGTATCTGATGAAGGTCTTATCGTTAAAATGTATCGCTATTATAATGATGTTCGCTGAAATTTTAGCAAAAAAACAGGCTCCGTTTAGAAGTAGGATAGTTTCACTATCTATCTGCGATTATTTATGAGAAGAAAAAATATAGACTAAAATGAAAATAAGCCTACATTTTATACACAAATTACTTATTGTATAAAAAGAATCTATGCTTAATAATAATAAGAGAGAGAGAGAGAGAAAAATAAAATAAAATCAGATTGTGAAAAGAAAAAGTGGGTGATATGGAATTAAGGTCATTAACATTAAATTGGAGACGTCATTGAAAATGATTATAATATGTATGAATAGGTTTTTCCTTTCAAAAGAACGATTTTTACAATTTTTGACACGATTTTATATTCATATGTTTAGTTAGCATCAAACATCTTATTTATTTTAGATATGTCATTGCTCGATTTACCAAACGTTGTTCTAGTTAAAATATTTAAAAATGTTGGCATCTATGAAACGGTTCGTCTCTTTTATAAATGTCGATCAAAACGTATTAAACCCGTATTAAATGATCCATCTATTTGGTCATATGTACATTTATCTAATTCATTATTACCATCAATTAATTATGAAATATTTGACTATTTTTGTCAATTATTAATATCAAATCAATTATATGTTCAAACATTGATTATTGATAATGATTTTGAAGATATATGTCGACAATTATTGTATAATAATGGTTTTAATTTATTTAATTTTCGTTCATTAAAACATTTAATTATTAATAATGAACAAATTTTATTAAAAGAACAACATTGTCTATTTTCAAAATGTTCATCAACATTAGAAACATTGAAATTAAATGAAAATTATACTAATGATAAATGTGATTTAAAAAAATTTCCATATTTAACTAATTTACAATTAACAATTTATAATAATATTGATCATCAATCATTTCAACATTTAATTGAGTTAAATATTAAAATAATGTTTGATTATTCAAGTCGTGATGTATTTTCTCGTTTAAATCAATGTTATCAATTACGTATATTTAAATTAAATTTTTTATTACTTAATGATATACATTTTTCTTATGAATTTGAACAATTTTTATTTAAATGTTCATCAATTGAATTTATTTATTTAAATTATTTAAATGGTATATGTCAATTAATCGATATTTATTTAATAATATTTAGAAAAACAAATTTAAAACGTTTAATTTTAATTAATATGATTGATTATAATCGTATGAAAATGATCATGAATAATAATCAATTATATATACCAAATGAATATTTTCAAATTATATTACCAAATAATAGTCGATCATTACAAACATCGTCCAATTATTCATGTATAAGAAATGAACTATGGTTTAAACGAAATATTATTTGTATTGATTACATACAATGTTATACAACATCAATGAATTTATATAATAAAATAATAAATAATAATTCAAGTAAATTCTCCCTTTAAAAACCTTGTCAGCGTTGCTTCTACGAAGCAAAAATGTGAAAACTTTCTATTGAACTATAACATAGAAGATGTATAAATAGAAAGAAGTTAAATACGAATAGTAGTGTGTGAGAGAAACTTCTGTTTAATAGCTTTTTTTTCTGATCATATAGAGAGATATGATAATACTTTTTAAAACTTGTGTTTAACAATATCAGATCAATACATAATACATCATAATGTACTGTCTGTTATTAGACCATACAGTAGCTGTAAACACCAAATATATATTCAAATTTGATCAATCACAATTTCACTCCAAAAGTTTACAACTACTGACAAAAAACAAACCTGGAAATCACAAAAATTTTCATATATAAATCTTATACTTCAAAGTTCTTTTTCCTTCGGAAAACCGATAAGTCCTAGGAAGTTTTCACAAAAGGACTTGAAGTTTTTGGCACGAAAAACAAGTGGTTTTCGAGATATCGGAAAAATCCTCAATGAATGATCAGCAAACAGATTTTTAGATTCAGTTTTTCACGTAGATTAAGAAAAAAAAACTTGCAAAAGTCTAGCACGAGTTGTTTAGACAATGTAGACCGTTTTTCGTAAATCAGACGGTTTTTCAAACCTTCAAGTTTTGCAGGTTTTTGAGTTTTTGACTACAAAAAATGTTTTTTTTTTGCGGTCAAATCATACATATTTGGATTCAGCGAAGCGAGCTCTATCCAACCATGTATAGAAATCGAAAAACAAAAAAGTGCTCGACTTTTAAATTTCCTTAACCTTAGATATATATTGCTCATATTTTTAATCCATTAAAAAAATTCTAATATTGATTATATTTTTATTTTTTGTTGTTTAGTTTCAACAACAATTTCTTGGTCAGATAAACAACCACAAACATTTGAACTTTATATATTACGTACAATTTATAATACATCTTATTTACATTTAATTCAATCTCTTACAATTTCTAATGTACAATTAAGTTATAATGGACTATTTGTTTTAATTACACGTTTAGAAAATTTATTTAAAATAACAATGTCTCATATTAAAATTGATCAAATGGGTTATGCTTTTAATGATATTAAAACACAAATATGTGAACATAAACAAATAAATATGATAAGTCATTTAAAAGAATTAATAATGAAACATATACAAATGTCACCGAGAACAATGATACAATTATGTTTAATTTTAAAATATATTCGAATATTATCTATGGATGATGTTCAATTATTTAAACGAAAAAAAGGAAAAGATACACGTATAACAATATTAACAATTATGAAACAAACATTTATGTATACAATGAGTAATAAATGGAATTTATTACATACATTTATATTAGGTAATGTGTATATTTTGTTTATAAAAATAAAAAAAAGAAGTATATGTTAATTTATTGTATATTTCTGTGTTTTTTTAGGAAAAAATATGATTCAAAAACAACAAGACATTGATTTATTGTTGACAAATGGTTATTCTTTTAGATTAAATCATCTTCGAATAACTTTAGAATTAAATTTTGAATATCAACAATTATTTCTCAAATCAATGAAAAAAATATTAAAAAATTATTCAAAATTAACATGTTTAATACTGGATATCAGACCGGATAATAATAATAATAATAATAATAATAATAATTTAAAATTTAGTTTAGAACAGTTAATTGAACAAGTTAGAAAATCAAACGTTAAATGTTATAATAATAATAATAGTTCAATTTATCGCTATTGTTTTGATATTGATCAAAATGATGATGAATTTTTGATTGAAGAAGAATATTTTTATAAAAAAAAGAGAACATTGTGTGGCATACCAATACAAAATCGAAAACAGAAAAATTAAATTTTTTGTTTTTTTGTTTTTTTTTAATCAAAACTAGTCCGTTGCTGTGATCTTTAATTTTTTCGAAATTTACGCTAGTCGATTTTTATGACATTTGTAAATTTTCTTATGATAACTATGCCTTTTCTTTTTCGATCGAAAATTTTATAAACAATTTAGTAAATTTTCTTCAACGACTATTTCGATATATTTATTCCGCTTCTGGAATATATTCACTTGTTACTAATTAAAATGTCTGTGAGTGTATCTACATATTTTATTTGCAATGTAAGTGAACGAACAAGCAAAGAAAAAATAGATAAACAGTGATTTTTTCAAAATCTTTCAACAAAAAATTCTATAAATAGAGTTATTAAAAAGAAGTGACACTTTTTTCCGTTCAAAACCGAAGAATGACCAAATTATGAGGAATCAATCATTAGAGAGAAAAATGATGCTGGGAAAAAGAATTCATTTTCATCCTGAATCAGGAATATCAGATCTAAAACCTGAAAATCAGAAAATAAAAGTTTCAAGTCAGAAAACCAAAACACCTTACTAAAAAAGAGAGCAGAAAAAAGTCCAAAAATTAGAATTTTTCTGCCAAAATCAGATGATCTGAGATCTCTGTCCTGAATGCACAATCCAAAATTTCTTTTCTCTTCTATTTCGTCTATTTTCACTCAAGATTATATCGTATAAGATTTCACAATATAAACTCGATGCACATAGAAGTTTTGGATGACACTCTCATGTAAAAAGATAACTAAATAGTAGAAAAGTAGATATTTTTATTAATACGTCAGAGTTTTTAACGGAAACGAAGGAGAGTTTCTGAAGTCTTTGTACAATTCAACAAACTCAGGAAATCTTTCCTCTTTGGAAAATCTTTTTAAACATCATTTTATTAGACATTATCTTAGACGTTCTATACTATTTCTTTATGAATGAATAACAATATGCCTAATCAATTTTCTGACTAGTGTAGAATTTACAGCTAGTCTCATTCGTCTTCTTCATTTCTATAGTCAATTTAGTTTTGCTCAAATTTAATATCGTTATTTCTCTTTTTTGTTCGTAAATATTAGATGTATTGTCTATTTTTACTTTAATAACTTGTCAAAGTAATTGTTTGTTTTGTTGATATCAGTTCAACATACGAATTAAAACTTCCATCGCAGATTAAATTTGTTTTTTCTTAACGTTGTAAGATTTTTTGGCAGCAGTTGCCATTTTTCTTATTTTGTCATACAGCCTATATTCTTAACCTGAGATGAGTCAGTTTTATCGCTATTTTCTCTCAAAGTGTTGTTTTGGAAATAAATTAATTACAAAAGACAGAGAAAGGCTAAATTATTTATAAAGTAAAACATTTTTGCATTCGACTTATTAATAACGAATTAGTTGTGGGAGATCCTTGTATGCTCAATGACGTTTGAAATATTGTAATAGTACATCTGGGAAACCCTTAAATTATTTTTCTGTCGATTCAACGTTTAATAAATCCAGTCAAGTTCAAAATACCGATACGATTTTGATCGTTTTTAATGCTATTCGAATTTGAACATCAACGAGATCTTGAACGTTTACAAAATTCCAGTCTTAACTCTATTAGTTTGGTTTATCATCTAAAATGAACTGTTGTTTTTTTGATGAAGAATCTAATTCTGCAAAAACATTGAACAAAACTTTTCTCATTCATACAAGTCTAAAATAAAAGCCGCTTTCATTTCATTATAACGGGTGTACCAAAAAGAATGACATAATTTATATTTTCAGCTTTTCTCCTCTCCCTTTGTACTTACAGCGCTGATCTTTTTATTAAAGATTCTCCATTCATTTCTCTACAAAGTGGTATATAGAAGATAATCCTAAGGTTTGAGACACTGTCTTAATTGAACAAACATCAAAATATCCTAACAATTTAGAAAATGTAAATTTTTTTACAAGACAATGTTGAAGTTTGAATTCTATTTTGAAAGTGATAGGAAGAAGATCGCAGGTAATTTCTTAGCACATTTTGATGTTCTCTATCAGATGGCGTTAGACTAATTTCAACCCCCTCGGTCTGATGTGGTAAAACTGGCTAGTTAATAATAGGCAGCCATCACTGAACGAAGTACACTAGTTTCAGCATCTCGATTATTCAGAAAAGTTACATCAAGCGTGTTGTCACCGTTTAGCACATGAGTCAAGTAGACCAAACATTTGTCTTCAGAATTATGCAAGAATGAGCTTGATTCCTTCATTTTCAGCTGAGCATTGGTCATTTTACAAATAGCTCTAAAATACACGTTGAGAAAGCTGAAAAAGTGACCATAGGGCTTTTGCAAAAAAACATTACTGAAAACACAGAAATAACGATAGAAAATCCGCATTAGAGCTAATCGATAGAGAATTTTAAGGACTACATTTTTGCCTACTTGTTTCTCACACAATGCATGCGCTCAACTGCATACTGACGAAATACACTTTTTTGAGTTATATTTTTAAAGTTTTTAGGATATTTCGATGTTTGTTCAATTAAGACAGTATCTCAAACCTTAGGATTATCTTCTATATACCACTTTGTAGAGGAATTAATGAGGAATCTTTTGGTAAAAAGACCAGCGCTGCAAGTACAAAGGGAGAGGAGAAAAGCTGAAAATATAAATTACGTCATTCTTTTTGGTACACCCGTTATATAAAATGACATCTGATTAGAATTTGAGTTTATTATGCGCTTTACAAAAGGCGTGGCTTTTTCCATTGTCCATGAGGTACCTAGTCAAAATATTTTCAAGATGTTAGAGGATTATTTTTGGATGTTTTCATAAAACACAAAGCATAAGTCAAGACACGATAGTGACGTTCGTCTTCGCAATCATGCATGTATTAGAAAAAACAACAACACAGAATATATAGTATTGAGTAAAAATACGTGAACTTTTCTTTTTTTGAATAAACGACCATGATACCGTTCTATTACGACATCTGTTTTCGTATCCTTAACAGTCCCCTTTCAAAGAAGAAAATGGATCAATTAAATAAAGGTGAATTATAGCGGAGTTTGAAAAAATCCGAAAGTACGAAGCTCGTTGCACCAAAAAACTTAAATCTGACTTATATTAAGTATAAAGTTGACTTAAGCCAAACTTAATTTCTTGCTTAACTGGTCTTGATTAAGTCATCGAAATGGGTGAGTTAAGTATAAAAATTCATGTTAGATAACTAAAAGTAAATAGATTTTACAATAATAAAGTCAATAAAATGGCAGTAATTACGCCTATGAGGCATGAGCATTAAAGAGAGAAAGAATATTTCAAGGTCGACAAAATTCTTTTGGAATAATGTCAGATGAAAATGCTTATGTCACGATATAGATTTCCCAAACGAACAATAACTGATTTTTAAAATTAATTGAGCTACAAGTTGTTCGTGTGACACGAAGAAGTAATGCCCCCACACTTTCTATATCATATCATTCAATTATTAATCGCTTTGAATTTTATGCAACTGCATCTAATCGTTCTTTTATCAAAAAAGAATCAAAAACTAAAAGTAAAGTCTAACTTGTGGATAACATTTGATTTAGTCCCTTTTATTTTGAAAACGAAAGTGAAGTAATAAAACATAACAGTTTGTTCGTTTTTCGCTGTAAAGTTTTACTTTAAAGAGATTGCAGCTTTTATGCTGACAAATTTTTTGTAGACTTTTTATGGCAGAAATAGCATAAAATTCACGAGAAATTTTTCAGAAGGTACACCACGAAGCGAAATCATCATTCATAGCAGTTGCGGATACTGTCAGCAACGCCTTATGTTATGCTATTGAAACATCCTTGTGATTAAATCAAGCTCAATTGTTCAGCTGCATTTTGAAGGCTTGAGATGATTAGCACTCATTCTTTCAGAATAAATTGTACTTTCACTCGTATTTTAGTGATACATCGAAATCTTGCTATTCTAGTTCAGTTAAAAAACGAAAGCCTGGGGGCCGTATCACAAAAAAACTTAAGTCTTCGTTATGTGCACTTACGTGCTAATTTTATACACTCAAGTGTGACTTAAGTCTAGACTTTGACTTAAGTTTTTTCGTCAATACGACCCCCTGAGTTGTTGCAGTGTTTATCTGTGCCAAAATTGAGAGCTACATGTAAGAAAAGCCAGAGCTAGTACGGATCATCTTCTTGTGACCAAATATGACTTGATATTCTGCGAAAATTCTCTTTAATTCTCTTAAGTGTTTCAATAGTAGCCCGAAAACCACAAAATAAAGAGGTCCAGCATGCATTATTTTACAATTCATTATAAGGGCAGCGTTTTTCTTAAAACTTACTAGCTAAATACAGCACATCTATGCACTTCTAATCCATTTGATTAACTGAAGTCAAATTTTTTGTTGTACTGCTAAGTCTGACTTAAGTTATCCTTGTGAAACACACTTAAGCCAAAAGATTAAGTTTCATTTATATTTTGACTTAAGCCATGCAGTTTTTTTGTGAAACACACATAAGTCAAAAGATTAAGTTTCATTTAGGTTCGACTTATCTTTGACTTAGATTTTGACTTAAGCCATGCAGTTTTTTTGTGAAACGAGCTCATGGTGTAGTACATAGTGATTTATTTGAGCCTCGCTCCTCCTCGTGACCTATTGCTGATTATGGCAGCAAAAGGAGACATTCGTATCTTACAAAAATATCTTTCCTCCTGAAATGCATAAGCAGATTAATGTCACTGAAATAAATTGTAGACTTAAATTCGATAAATTATCTGGAATAATTTCACTGTTAATAGTTGATGATAATATAATAATAACTTAATTATTTACCTGTAACTAAGATGATCACATGATTCTACATGTCTTAGAAACACAGCAGATCTTGAGAAGATCATTCACTAAAATTCCAACCTGTGACTTCTAGAATGACTGCAAAAGGAACTAATTCAAAATAACACTTGTTATTTTTGGAACTTATTGAGATATTTTTAGGTTGAAAATTCGGCTTTAGCTGTCAAATTTCATCATAGTGTTAAAATTTGTTGTGGAAAGAGATAGTAACAGCATATTTTTATCCAGGATGAGAGAAAATATTTTTGATGTACATGAAGCTCAAGATGGATTTCTTTATGTATTTTTGATATATTGAGATTAATTACTTCTTTTTAGGTTTTAATTCTTATCTTTCATCTGGTGTTATCCTTTTCCCTTCCCGTTTACGATACATTTGTTTGTTGATCTTTTTTGTTCGACGATTCAATTTTTATATTTTTCTCTTACACCTTTTATTATATTTAATATTTTCAAGCATACGGTCATAAGAAATTAAAAGCAATGACAGGCATGGGTAATTTTAACAGAATGTCTTTATTAATGAGTATTAGTGAAATTACACCTCAAATTTATATATCTGGTAAGTCTAGATTAAATGCCCTTTCGGCGAATATATTTTTTTCTTCTTATCTATAGGTCAAATGGCTGCAACTCCAGATCAAATTAGCCGATTAAGTATCACATACATAATTAACGTTGCTGTTGAGTCGTCTTCTATTATCTACCCAAAACATGTTAAATTAGAAAAATATGACATTCTTGACTATCCGACAGCGCCGATAAGTAGGTTTAATAAATAACTTGTTTTTATTTTTTATGAAAAATGTGTCGTTTTCAATTTTAGGCAATTATTTTAATGTTTTAACCGATAAAATTCATCAACATTTATCCTCTAATAAACAAAATAAAGTATTAATTCATTGTATGGCTGGTATTTCTAGAAGTGCAACTATCGTATGCGCATATTTAATGAGATATCAACACATGACATTGCGAGAAGCCTATTTATTAATTAAAGAACGACGACCCATTTGCTTTCCAAATCTTGGATTTTGGTCTCAATTGATTCAATATGAATATCAATTGAAGCATGAAAACAGTGTTAAACGTCAGTATAACGTTTCTTATTTTGTATTCTAGCATTTCAGCTTAATTACATGGAATTTGCCTGATTCAGTAAACTTGGAGTGTATAACTAACTCCAATAACATCATTTTGTATAAGATATTCTGAATTGTATAGAAATGTGTTTTTAAGCCACCCAAAGTCTCATTTAACGGTTGGAAAAGTAGTTAACAAGGTCTTCGTCCTTTTTTTAAAATTTTTGTCGAAAGCGTATATTCTAATGTATAATATATGAAGTTTATTTTCTTATATAATTTACTTTTTTACATTCCACCTCTGTAGTACAACTCATCTAAAACAGCGGTATTTTGTGACATTGGTCTATTACCAATAACGAACGGGAAATTTTGCTGCAAAGAAAATACCGTTTTTAAATAAGTAATATATGTACTAACAACTATTTTTTACGATCTATCTAATGAGCTCATTATTTTTTCTTGAGTAGCAGTTTTTCCAGCTGTGTCTAAAATGTTACGGACTAATATTCATAGTCTACTCAAAAAAGTTACATTGAGTGATGTTTATAAGTAAAAGTTTTCTGTATAACTTTTCCCGATGAAAGACGTTATTTATTTTGGTTTTCCGGTAATTGATTTTTTCGAGGGTCACGATATTTGAAGTAAAGTTAACGCTCCTTTCGAAACTTGAAATCGATCTAGCCATTACAGCATCCAAACAAAAGATAACGGAAGATGCAAAACGTGTCAATTCGTTACGAATGGAGGTGCTATTCTGAACAAGCAAGAATTAAACTTGTTTATTTGTTCACTTTAGTTGTTCAAACAAGTTTCGGTCATATACCTGATGTAACGTTAAATGAAATAAAAGAATTAAAAGGTCAACAATCAGTAACGACAACACCATTTTTTCCTCTGCAACCAAACGTCAACGCTAATGTAGATATACCATTTACACAAACACTACCACGAGCAAGCGGACGAGAAATGACACTGAGCACTGGTACATTGAGATCACGATCATTAGCGGGTAACCGTCAGATGTTACCAGCTCCATCAACAGTATCATCACTCGTCAATAGCCGTGCAAATGACAATGCATATCCAGTATTTGCGACAAAACCATCTGCTTTTTTGACACCAACAGCAACACGATACGGTGTTGGTACACGTTCAAATCCACCACCTTCCTTGCCAGCGTCTTCATCACAATCTACATTACCATTGCAGTATTATGTTACTAATCGTCCTTTCGCAACCTCGTCAAATATGAAAACAATCGGGACAAATCGTCAACTAAACAATAATTTTTCCTTATCAACAGCAACAAACCCTGACGCAAAACCTCACTATGAAACAACCTATCGCGCCAGTTTTATCAAGCCGTTAAATCCATAATTGGACATAATTTCAGTGTTAACACTTTTCTTTTGATAAAGGAATGTATGATGTTAGGCTGATATGTACCTAAGATATTTTTTTTTTAGAAATACTACCAAATATGTTTTTATCATGTATAAGCATTTTCGAACAACATAGTCAACAACATTCTCAATGACTTGTTTTTCTTTTTCCTTCTATTTTTTTACATGTATTATTTCGAATGTTAAATGTATTTCTTAGAATCTCTCCGTTTAGTCCTAGTAATAATAGTATCATAATATTTTGTTTCTTGAAGAATGTAAAACTGAAGTCTATAGTTTTTTATTTTTATTTTTTATTTCATCATGTAACAACTTTTATTTTTTTAAAAAAAAGAATGATTTTTTTTCTTTTTTTTTTTTGTTGTTTCTCTCTAGAGAATGACGTGATATTCTGTTTTGCTTTTATATTTTGTCATTGAAATCGTACACGAACAAACTTTAAAATGATTTTGTCAGATGAGTACAACTGTTTTCGTTTTTATTTTTTCCACTATGCAATGTGTTCTTCCGTATTCAAGAAAGTAATTGACCAGAACGCAACATTTAAATTGGTGACTTTTTTTTCTTTTCACGTTTCAAGAACACCTAAGCAAGACTTTATAACAAATGACTATGACGATAGTGCTCGTGTCTGTTTGTTACAAAAAAAAAAAAAAATTAAATAAAATGATGCTTTTTATATTTTTATTTTGACTTTTTAATAATTGTGTTATGTATTTGTGACTTTACGGTGATGTTTTTATTCGTTGCATTTTTATTTTTAATAGATAAGAATATTGTTTGTTTTACAGCTCGTTTGTCTTCTAAAAAAAATAAATATATCATTTTCAATACTTCTAAACTATTTTTTTGCAATGTAAGACCTTTCTTTATTTCTTTGATAAATATAAAATTGTTAGATCAATTCAATTTTTATATTGCTTGCCAAATATCTAACAATTTTACTGTAATTTTTTCTGTGTTGCTGAAATACTGGTATGAGCACACAAGATTTTCTATGAAAAATGAGATGGCGTCCATTATTCTTCTATCAAATAGTCTGTTCTTTGATATAACTTATTTTATGACTGTTTTTTATTTTCATTTCAGAGTATATTTTTATTTCAAAAAATATTCTCTCTTTCTCTCATTTTATTCCTCTTTCTTTCTCGCACTCTCTACCTATCGATATTTCCTCTATTATCCCATTTCTTCACCATATTTTTTCTCTCTCTTTTTCAACATGATGATTAATTATTAGTTCATATACAATCCAACTCAAATAATTTCAATATTATCAAACATGTTAGGAATAACAGAAGTGATCGATAATTTATATATCTCAGGTCTTCAATCACGTCAAGCTGTTTTAGCGAAAGGAATTAGTTATGTTGTAAGTACATCTCTTGTAGTATAAATTTGTAAAGATCTCCTTTTCTGTAGCATCTATTGTAGTCACTTATTATTTTTAAAAAATTATTATTTAGATAAATATATCTCAAGAATGTCCTGTTCAAAATTTGGGTCCATCAGTAGAATATGAAAAAGTATCTATCTTAGATTTTCCAACAGTTTCAATACATCAGTACTTTGATCGATTAACAGAGCAAATACATAAAAATATTTTAAAAGGAAAGAAAACTCTGATTCATTGTTATGTTGGAAAATCTCGATCAGCATCAATTATTTTAGGTTAGTAAATGCTAAAACTTTTCACGTATATATTATAAGTCTTTTTATTTTACTTTTTTTTTAAAGCATATTTGATGAGATACAAACAAATGTCTTTAAAGGATGCATTTTATTTTTTACGTGCACGACGACCCATTATTGGACCTAATGTAAGATTAAATAAACTTATTAAATATATTGATCTGGTGCATGTTTTGTTTGTTTTAAGTTTGGTTTTATTAAACAATTAATTGCATACGAAAAAGAGTTGTATGGTTATACAACTGTGCGGTTTATTGAGACACCAATGGGTCGAATTCCTGATCTATATTTATCAAGTCCACTACCACCATCACGTTTAGTACGACAAGCAACAATGATTCCAATTCAAACAAAATCATCTATGTCAATAAATGCTCCGATCACATCAACGAAACAAAATGTTTTAGCCCCGAAAACATCTGTATCACGTCCGGTATCTGCCATTATGCGATCAACAAATACGTTACCTCTACGTTCTACACAATCAAATGGTTATGGTAGAAATGAGAATGATTTTTATTTAACTACTGAAGCTGGAAAAATTGGTTCTAGTGTAGAAAACGAAGATCGTCATAATCAAGTTCACCATCATCATCATCATCACCACCATCACCAGCATCATCAACCGCCGTTTTTATCAGTTACGCCGAAGAACACATCTAATCCACGATATACATCTAGTTTCATCAAACAATCTCCTTCAATCTATCCACTGGGAACCACATCAACATTACCATTATCAAAAGTTCCATCGGCAGTGAACAATGGATCAAGTATGTTAATTCCAACAAAGCTCAATTATCGAACAGTCAAATATGCACCATCCTCTTATAACAATTATCGTTTGTAATATCTTCTTTTGTGCAAATAATTCTCTCTTTCCCATTTACTTATCAATCTATGAATCTATAAGCTAATTATACAACTTCTTTTCTTTGCATGTCTGATCTATCTAGAGTTTGTTTAAATCCTGCTACTATTCTCTAAAGGGCTAATAGTATATTTATTCTCTAATGGGTAAGTTTTTGAACGTTTATCCATGTATTTAACTTGATCTTATAGTTAGTGAGATTAGATTTAATACAGAGAGTCATGAGTATGCCACTATATAAATGAAATTTCAGTTTCTGTCTTTCCTTTGCTTATTATATTATACAAAAAAATTAATGTCTGTCTCTCTATTTTTGATATGAAAATCAATGTCATAGTCAAAATGTTATTACTTTGCCAGATATATTTTAATATTTTTTGTTTTGAGAATATAGGAAAAGATCTGTGTTTGTTCGAACATATTCGTATATTGTTTGTCTCTTCTATTCTATTTCATTATAATAACTTCTTTTTTTATATATTTAAAAAATTATCATGAGACATTGTGTATCTAAATAGAAAAACAAAACAGTTGAGAATGAAACATGAGAATGTTTATTTTATGTTTTTAGGTCAATGAGTATGTTTGATATTTTTTACCACTATCTGACAGTTAAACAGTATTATAGACAATATTTTTTTGTTCTATTATGAATGTTATTTGAGAAGGAGTAATTTATTTATTTTATTTTTTGTTTTTGAAGAAAATTCAATTTCAAAATATATAATTTATTTTTGTTATAAGGCATTTTTTGTTTTTTGTCTTTGTGTTCACATCCGGTGTAGTTGTTATTTATAAAACAGAGACTGAATGAGTGCATATTTTAAGTCATGCGTAAAGTATTCTTTTCTGTGGTATTCTTCAATTTTTTAACACAAAATAAGAAGATATATTAATTTATTCAGCTGCATTTTATGGGTGGGTTAATAAATGCAATGTTATTTTACTTGATTTTAACTAAAATACAAATAAAAAATACAAATAAAAATAAATACACTTGAAGAAATTGATTCAATTTTTGCCTAAAATTCGAATCGAGTCATGAAATGAGTCATTTTATCTTAAATTAAAATTTTCAGCTCAACAAATTAGAAAATCACAACATTTCAATATATCACAAACATATTGTCAATCAAAAACAAAAAAGAATTGTTGATTTAAGTTTACTATTTTCTTGCAAATTGTGTTCTTTGTTTTTGAAAATTATTTTATTCTACTATTAGAATGTTCTTCATAATAACAATACGTTGCTTTATTCTATGTATTTTATTTGACGACAATTTTTAAAACTCTCATATCGACAATAGGTCATTGTATAAAATCATTTAAATAATTTATTTTAAATATAAATTTATACATTATAGAGTATGAATAGAGAAGGAAAAAAAAAGACAAAATTAGTTTAATAATGTGATAAATGACAAATGATTATTTTATTTTTCTTATTCTATTTTAAATTTTTATATATGAGAAACAGATGTTGCACGTAAAATGACCTGGACATTAACACTATAAAAAAATTTAAAACAGATGGTTAGACGATGTATTTTAGACTTTATTGATAAAGTTTTTTTATTCTTACAGTTACAGTTTATTTGTATAAACTAAGAAAAGACTTGAAAAAGGTGAGTTATTTAGTCTAATCTATCATTTGAAGTAGAAAAAGTATAATTTTTATCTTAATAAAAAAATAAAAGAATAAGATAAGACTTAAATGGACGATTGTTATGAATGTTTTGTGGGAAAAAAAGACGAAGACGTTGTTTAAATAAAATTCTTCATTTTCTTTCCAACTAACGGAAAAGTATATATATTTGTCATTAAATGGTACGTTGATCATATTGGGAAAAATTTCATGTTTGTCAGACGAATAATCTGGACATTTTTGAAAAGTCAATATAAATACGAAGTTAAATGAGATTTTTTATTATTCTAAATAAATACTTTTTCTTCGTACTAATTTTATTTTATTTTCAAACGTTTCAATTTGATAGTTCATTCTTCCTTAGTGAACACAAACATTAATTAAATGAATTAAAATTACATAAACAAAATAATTTGAACAGAAAACTTTTAAAATAGGGATATTTTTCCTCGTTTCTATTTTTAAATTTATAATATCGATAATAAAGTATAGCCTGACAAGCATCTTTAATATACTAAATTTATATCCTATTTTATTCTTTTCACTTTTCTCCTGCCTAGACAATTCTTACTTAGTATAAGATTATATAAGGACTGATCTAAGAAAGGCAAACACAAAAAAATAGACCAAGTGAGAAGAATTTGAAGTCGGAGCTGGAGAAGAAAAGTGTGCTTAACAAGATGAGACATGCCAGAGCTCCCTACGGATCTTGATTATGGAGATAGTGTGAAGATATTCAACAATATTCTGAAAAAATATTTTTGTTGTTAAACAAAGGATGCCTCTATTTTGTTGATATATCGCCATAATAAAGATTCGTAGTGAACTCTGTCATGTCTTATCTTGTTAAGCACACTTCTTCACAAAACAATAAAATCACGAGATCTGATCGTTCTTTTATTCGAAATATATATGAAAACAAGAAAATAGCAAAAAAAAAGTATGTCACGTAGAATCACGAGGTATGACTTATTTCTGCATCCAGTTCCAAATTTCATATATATTCTACTAGACATGATAGAATAGAGAAAGACAGCTGTGAATAGATGAAAAAGAAAATTTGTAGAACGTATATTTCATTCTTGTTCTAATAAATTAAGAATGATGACAGAGATCTTAGATACTTTTACATAGAACGATAGATACAGAATTTAAGTTATATCATTATCTTAAATTTGTTTGTTTTATATCAATAAATGATATTTAAAAACAAAAATTATCGAACGTTAAATTCCTCATAATAGAATTAGGCTCACGTTACTCTATTCATCTTTTTTTCAAGAATTCTGAATAGTTTTCATATTGTTTTTATTCAATTTTAAGATGAAAAAAGAAACATTTCGTGAATTTGGTCTATTTTGGTCTGTTGTCGAAAGCAAATTTACTATTACTGTAAGTTTATGTAATGTACTAAATATTTATTATAAATTAAACTTTATTAGTTCTCATTGATCTATTAATGAGGGGTCAAGTTCAGTACAGCCAAAAGTTTAATGACATAGTGTTATAGTTCACTTTTTGTTACAGCTTCATTCAATAATGAAGAACGTGTAGAAAATTTATCTTTTATTTATGAATGTTATCTTCTGTTTGATACTAAGTTAAACACGCTTATGCTATCCTGACGTGCTTGTGCTTCATTCTACCAAAGGTGAAGATTTATTGACCTATTTACTATAGTTGCACTAAAGCAGTTGTGGACGATAAGTGTTTGTTGAAAGAATTATTTAACCTAATACTAAACAAACGTATTGTCATTCTACTAATAAATAACTGGTTACTTTGAATTTTAGGATGAAAAAAAATAAAAATAAAAAATGATTTTCTGTTCTTTTTTTTTTGTATAGATTAACCATATTCGTCATAAGTCAGAATCAAAGACATCATCTTCAATTCCAATGAATCCTTGCTGGACTACATGTGACAATGGGGGTGATTCTATGACAATCGACGAATCTTCTAATCTCGTTCCATGTGAAAATTGTCTAATGCCATCTGTCAGTACACAACGTACAACTCATTCATCATTCTCATCATCATCACCAGCAACATCTGTAACAAATCCTGTTGATGTTCCATCGAATGGAACTTTAACACAACGTTCATCATTTGATTCATACGGAAATTCTTTATCACCATTCACATGCGGTTGGACCGAAGGTTTGTCAAAAATTGTTTTTTTTTGAAAAACAATTAATATTTAAAATATATTTAAAAATATAATATTAAATAATAAATCTAATAGTTTTAGTAGTGTTCAATTATCATATTGATTAGTTTTATTTTAAAATAATTTTAAAACTCTTTTTATTTAGGTTATGGAAATCAGTCTATACTATCTGATTCAAGTGAAGATCTGGAAGAGGTTGACGATATTTTATCATTAAATAATACCGATGATACCTCTCATTCGTGTACATATACACCTGTTGAGGATTTGGAAGATTATGAAGTCTTATCATTTGATCAACCAATTGAACATACGTTGTATATTAAAGGTAATTGCAATGACTTTTTGTTTTATTATAAATTCAAAATAAAATAATTGTTATCATTTAGAATTTCCTCATACAACACCCTCCGAACAAAATTTTTTATGTAGCTGTTGCAAAAAAAAGATGTCACCATCAAATGCTCGTCGTTGCTATTATTATGGAGATATATATTGTAAATCGTGTCATTTAGGGAATACAACCGTTATACCAGCTAAAATTATAAATAATTTTGATATAAGAAAATATCCTGTATGTCGACGAGCAAAATATATTATTGAATCAAATTTTCACTATCCACTATTCGATATTCAAAATGATAATGCAGAATTATATACATTATCCAGACGATTATTTCTTGTTAAATCACAACGTATTCAATTGAAATCGCTCTATAATTATTTAAAAACATGTAGTATTTTAGAAAAGAGCAATGCTTTAATTGAAGATTGTTTTCTTCGAGATCTGTGGCCAAAAGATCATTTGTATCAATCAATACATACCTATTCATTACATGATATTGTTACATTAAAAAAATTACATTTAACATTAAATAATACAATTATTAATGCTAAAACACACGTTTTAACTTGTGTACTATGTTCTCAAAAAGGATATTTTTGTGAAATATGTAAAAATCGAAAAGAAATATTGTATCCATTTGATGATTTAAATTTTATTTCATGTTGTCACAAATGTTCAGCGATCTATCATAACAAATGTTATCAATTTGTTGATAAAGATTGTCCAAAATGTTATCGATGTATCGCGAGAACAGAACAACGTTGTGCTATTGACTATGATAATAATTAGTAATTCAGTGACAAATATATATTCGGTGATTTGACGGAAGCAATCTCGCTCTCTTTTTGTGTACGATAAAAAATCCAGATTTTTTATTTTTTTGTATCTAGGTATGTTTATCTTTGTTTGTTGTTTTTAACATTTGAATTAACCCGGTTATAATTGAACATAACTATATGTATCGTTGTTGTATTGTTTTTTAATGTTAAGTTTTGTTTTAGAGATAAAAATAAAGTGTTTGAAAAATAAATAAAATATCTTTATACGTTGAAATAATGAATAAAAAAAGCTCTAGAGTATCTTATTGATTTGTGTTCAGTTCATAACCAAATAAGGTATAATATATGTAGTAATATTCAAAGAGACATACAAACGCAGCGTAGAAGACGTATATCTATTACACGAATCTTTGCCTGATTAAGGATCACAAAAATTGAGTCTTTCAATATTTATTTTTGTCCACAACTGAACCTAACAGCACTTCTGTTCGTGATAATTAGCCATATAAAATTTTCATTCATGTTTTCGACCAATGCACTCAGGATAGCTTAGTAGTCACTGCCATTATTAATGATATTCTTTTGAGAATGAAATATGAATAATGACAGTCTCAAACGTTGTTTTATTCGACAATTGACAATGCTCGCTGTTATCACTATGCCTATACTGTTCTTGTCATTTCGCAAATAATTAAAGAAACGAAAATAAATATTGAAAAACTCGATTTTGTGATCCTCAATCGGGCAAATGTCTGTGTGATAGATATTCAGCTGTAATAAAAAGCAATGCCCGTCGTTCTTTAAGCCCCTCAATGCCCGTCGTCTTTAAGCCTCAGAAATGCCGATTTTCATCAAAATATCAACTTTGCGAGGAGCACATGGCTGGATAGCCCACAATGTCTACTTTCTAATAGTATAATTTTTGTATCGATAGGACAAGTTTTTCATTGGTTTTGAGCGAGTTTTCCATAAGTCCTATAGCAAAAAAATGGCTTTTTTGCACTTGTATTGCATAAGCGCAGGCATGTGCCACACATGTCCGCGCACATGTTCATTAGGTCCTTCATGAGCGATAACCTCTAGCAAAATATCAACAAATTATTTAACGCTCAAAGAGTTTTTAAGAAAAATGCATTTAACAGAATCAGAACTTATTTTGCGTTTCTGTTAAGACTGTTTTTTAGTTCAGGGCTTTCGCCACGTGCAGGAATTCGCCGTAACGGTACATCAAAGAAAGAAAATTTTTTTTTAATTTGTAGATAACACCTATGGACTTGACAGAGTCCGATTTTTGAATTATGCTTCTACTTTTGGTAGAAGTGAGGATTTCTAAGAAACCTTCCAAGAATTTTTCGGACTTTAAAGTTCTGTTAAGCACCAGAAATCTGTAAATGAGAAATTCAAAAATCGTAGCACACTTTGACATTGTCGACATAGATTTCTGACCCGGGGGGGGGGGCGTAAATGTAAAACATCCCGTAACAAATGCTCCTCATTGTTTGTTGAACCAGCTAATCCTAGCTGGGGTATTGAATTCCTTGAATGCCGCCGCATTTTGCCAGATAAAAACTCCCAGAAATTTGTATTGACTAAAGTAACAACATTCAATAATTCTCAGTTGCATTGTGATGAACCGCCTCAATCTCAACGGTCACCGTATTTATTTAGTTCTGAATCAACTAACGATCCAAAATTTTTCACAACCGATACAGTTGCTTCTACCAGCGATGAAAATGAGCAAGAAGAATCGCTTGTATTTTGTGAATGTGCTGAAGAAGGTTGCATTAATAAGTTTCTAAAACTTGGCAACTATTTTCAGCATATTGCAAATGGGAAACATCGTTGTATTATACAGTTGCTTTGATGTACAAAGCAAAATTAGAACTCACTGAGAACCGAGAATTAATATCAATGCAATTGGAAGTAGCTCATTCAATCGATAAATGGCAGGTTAATCCGTTGACTGAACTTGTACAAGATTGGGCTATCCATCTCCCTCGTATAGAAGCTACATCTGAGTATGTTTGTGGGGAGAAAAGGGAAACTGTGGAAAATTTTTAATGTATTATTTTGAGTAGGGATGTGCGGTAACCGGTAAATCCGTTTACCGTTACCGCGGTAACGGGTAAAAATATTTTACCGCTACCGTGGTAAATTTAGTACGGTAAAAAGTTTTTTACCGTTACTGCGGTAATCTCGCTTTTCAGTAAATTCATCTTACCGTTACCGCGGTAAATTTCGTACGGTAAGACCTCTTCTACCGTTACCGATTTTTTGTCTCGGTAAAAAACTATTACCGTTCATTTTTCCGGTAAATTTTTTTACCGTTGTCTCGTTTCAGTAAATGTTGTTTGCTTCAGAAAGGACCGTATATTATATAATCGGCCTAGAGGTAGGGAGTTAGCGACAATACAGATTTTGATTTTCTTAAGTAAGGAGGAGATCAAATATATCTAAAAAACTACCTATATCATATTTTAATGACTCTAATGCTTGTGTTTCTAAATGTTCTCCAGACAAATGCATAAAAGTAATCTGAGTCATGAACAACAGTTCAAATTTTGACGCTACGTATTCTTTTTCTATTCAAAAATATCGTCTATTAGAATTAATTAAAGTTTGTCTTTCAGGAACATACTATAGCTAAACCCATTAGCTTTGAGATTAACACGATTCTGCATTAATCGTCCAGATATACTAAACGCTCACACTCACCCTCACCTAACGCAGAATGCATGAATTTATATCACCGCATGGTCAAAATTAGAAGGGAATAAAGAAATAAAAACAAAATAAAAAACATAAAAGTCGGTAAAAAAAACTTTACTGGAGAAAAATTCGGTAAAAAGTATTTACCGGACCTTTGGTAAAAAATTTTTTACCGTTACCGGTAATCTAATGTTTCGGTAAATTCATCGTACCGTTACCGCGGTGAAAAGGCTTTTACCGTTACCGACGGTAAATTACCGGTTACCGCACATCCTTAATTTTGAGTATGATGAGAGCCGTCAGCTCTTGTTTCAGCAACTATCGATGTTTATTTATTACCGATCAATTTTGTTTTCTGTTTTTAAGGCAATACAAATCCTTTTAAAACCCGATTTTGAGCTCATTCGATAGAGAAGTCATTGCTTTACAAAGCTGTCGATTTTGTTTTCCAAATAATTTTTTCTTGCCGGTGTAAAACTTAAAAGATTAATACCTGCTCAATCGTCCAACTGCGATCTCCTATTTTCTGCAGCCATCGATCGATTTGTGTAAGCTGATCAATTTTCATGATAAAAGTAAAGTATTTAACATCAGTAAATAGAAAATTTTGTGCTCTGTGCTTCCACGAATTTTTCAAGGTTCCTGGTGCTATCATTCAGGAGAAAATGGCTTGGAACTAACATCTAATGGTATTTTTGGACGCTTTTTGGAAAATCATGCTTTCTAAAGCCAGACTTGGTCTATGAAACGTTTATTCTCAAGCGGTTGCATACAGAATTGAATTCTGAACAAAATGGTATAACTGTTAAGTTGAACAAGGAAACCTTTTGAGTTGTTTCGAATTAAAAAAGAACAATGGCATAGATCTATCAGAAAAGGGATTTTTTCAGTTTTCACGTTTTTTACTTCAAAAATTTTTCTCGCAAGTATTTCTTTTATTTTAGAAACATGTTCTGAAGCATACATCAAAGATGCAGAATTTTATGAAGAACTTTGCGGCATATTTGAAATTTGAGCGGAATCGTTATTAAAAGTTTTTCATCATTTTTCATCTTTTAATCGTCGCACGATTGGATGATTGAATAGGCGTTATAACACCTATTCAATCGTCCAATCGTGCAAAATGCCGTCTAAATGCCCACTGTATGTTAATCTTTTAAATTTTGAGTCGACAAGAAAATTTTATTTGAAAAACAAAGTCGACAGTTTTGTAAAGCAATGAATTCTCTATCGAAGGAGCTCAAAATCGGACTTTAAGGGAGGACGATGTCCCCACTTAGGTTTTCGCCCAACCTTCCCAGTTTGTAGAGGACACTTCGAGGTATATGTCCTGAAGTTTTTCCGGCTTACCGGCTTATTTGGCTGAGAAAAAAATTAATTACTTTAAAAAATATTGTTAAGTTTTTGAACAAGGGACTATTATTAAAAGAATTCCTCTCCATTCTCCATTCATCATAAAAACTTGGTTCTTGTGTAGATCGATAGAGAATGTGTGAAGAATATTTACTATTAGAAAATATGTAAACATTTTTGTTCTTTCCTTCCTCTTATTGACTAATTAGCACTAATTAAGGTTAATTTAGCCTATTCTACTAGCTTACAGTCCCATTTGCAAAATAAGGACTCAACAAAAGAATTTAAGCTATACCTCACCTGACAGAGACTTTCACGAGCTACAAGACTAACTAGCTTAAGAGTTTTAGAATCCAATTCATTCATTAGAATTTTTTTATAACACTCCCGTGCTCAAAAATTTAACAATATTTTTTTAAGTAATTAATTTTTAAAAATTTTTAAAAAAATTAATTAAAAATCGAGTTTAATGAGTTTTTAAAAATCCTTCGTTCATATTCCAGAGAATCTGATTCTGAACAACTTTCGTACCCGCACTTTTCCCTGAAAATACTTCCTTCGTGCGAACTTTGGTTCAAGGTGTTTTTAAAAATACTTCTTGCTCCAAAATGCCATCGGGCAGGTCAAAGCGGAATTACTCAGTCAAAGCTTGACCGAATTTTTTGTAGATACATCTTGATGTTCTCTATCGATTAACATCAAAACCGAGGTTATATATAGAAATCTGAAAATTTTATTAAACTTTTAAAAATGAAGCAAAAAACCGAGATTAAACTTAAAAAATTATTTTCTGAAAAACTACAGGTCCGATACCCGAAAAAGTACTGAAATATATACTTCAGAGTGTCCTCTACAAACTGATAGAAAAAACGGAGTGGGAAGCTCTCCCTTTAAAAGAATTTTTATTGCCTCGAAAACAAAGTTGTCCACTTTAATCTAGCCCATCCATTAGTGTCACATGAACAGACTTTTTGGATGACTATCACTACTCCTATCTTTGTTTTTCTCTCTTTTTAATTACGCTCTCTCGTGATTTAGAATAGATTCAGACATATAGTAATCTTATTTCTTGTGCTTGGTTTTCTGTATATATGTGATTCTTATGGTATTTTTCTTTTTGTATTCTTAATAAAACTTTTAAATATTCACTAAATGTACACAACTATAGAAAAAAAGACAGGGACAATGAAATCACTGAATATCAATAATTTATAATGCGACTAGAGACTGATCAAATCACGAACTTAAAAATGTTTCTGCATCATGTTTTTGGTGTACTTATACTAGCGTTGTTGTTATTAAGTCATCCATGATAAATATGTATGTATTCTCACAGTAGAAGATCGACACGAATCCATTTCTAAACATTGTTGACTGCAATATAACTAAAATATCTTTTTCCTACTAGTTTACTATTGAGGTATGGTGTTTCATCAGGTAATGCGATTGCTATAGTAGATGATATTAATAATAGACGGCTGGACAGAGAAAAAGTGAGAGTTAGAATTAATCCTATAGCTTGCAGATAACATATTCATCGTTATATTTTATCATCCTTCGTTTAACTAAATCGATCATCAGATGTGTATGTGTTTCACTTTAGTGATGTGATCATTGACTGGATGTATCTCCCTGTCCATAAAAGGAAGACCATCGGCCAAATTAACGATTTATTTTCATAAACTCTTCATATTCAGCTGATTGTAAACTTTTGAATTTATTATCCATGGTAATTAGTCTCCAGTGGGAAAGAGCAGAATTCTGCCAGGCGAGACAGACACGTTCGTGACACATAGAAGAAAAATCTTGCCCCATGTACAAACCTAGCATTTATTTTTAAGTATATGCTGATTGGACGATATCTCCATGTTTGAATTCTCCAATCCGAAATTCAATATACGAGACAAATGGATCAGGAAAACATGTCAATTTTTTTCATGGGCCATATAGGCTCGGGATAACATAAACGTTTGATGGTAATATCGTTGGTGTAAATGGCACGTTTTTCTCTAGGAATTGTAGTGCCATAGAATATTTCATCTTAATGATGCGATATGTATTGAAAAAAGACGTGTAAAAAGTAAAAAGTGATTGTTATTTACTTTTCCAAAAACTGTTCCAAGTTTGATTATTTTTGGTAGTTGTTACTTATCATTATTATTTATACAATTTTTTTATAGTAAAACTATCCATTGTTCAACCCATAGTAAAATGGAATTATTTAAGTAATACTATTAATCAGTTTACGCAAAAAGCTCTTTATTAGACATTTTCAGTTATTAACTAAATCTCTCTATTGACACTGTGTAATCGAGCATTTTTATAAACTAATCTTTCACAATCATAACGTAATCATTTTTTATTTTTGAATTAAATCCTACTTGTAAAAGAAACAAAACATTGTTGTCTATAATGAAATACTCTACTCTTTCTCTCGCAATACATTTTTTTAATCACGATATAAATTGTTTTTGAGTAAAGAGAAAAAAATATTAATGTGTAGGTAGAAGTTCATTAGGTAAGACGTAGAAGAAAACAGATATACTTTTTTATTGGAATAAAATGGATTACCGTTTTGATAAGGTTTTTTCTCCCTTGATATTAAAAGAAAAAGAATAATTATTTTGACATCTATAGATGACAAAAACATACACAGATGAGTATTCAATTTTGACACAAGAATATCTATATCTGTATCTTTTGAGATTGTGCACGCACAACAGTAACGTCTGTTTCTCACTTCTTTTTTTCATTATAGAATGTTAAAGTTTTCCATTTTTCTTCTACTTTTTGTCGAAAATATTTCTCATTCTTCGTTTTAAACTTATCAATATTATTCAGAACTATATCAGTATGTCATCTGCACACATTTAAACGCAAAATACAGTAAAAATTAAACATAGAGCAGAAGCAACAATTAATTATTTAAAATATAGTGGCAGTGACCACTTTTTGAATGAAAAGAGGCAAAAACCTGCAGCTTTTTACTAATATCTAAGTGTATCTTCTAATGGATGAAAACAGATAAAATTAGATATCAATCAAAATGTATCAGAATGCTACATATTGTAGACAAAACTATAAAGGCATGGTTTTTCTGAAACATTCATAACTCACTTGATATGTTAGACTCCGCAAATCTCGAAAATTAGTGAAAATATAGATTATCGATCATTCTAAACCTTGCGGCAATGTTTGTTATTAGCAAAAACTGGAAAAATCTAGAGAATATGATACCCTGGTTTGATCGTACAAAATAAAATATTCACATCTGGTTCATAATTTACAAACACGGCCTGAAACTTGCAGAAAATACTACTATCGTGCTACCTGATTTATATATTGACAGACGTAAAAAAAAAATCCCCCTCCTGATAGGTTCTGGAAAAGCGTCAAAAAAAAGAAGGATGAACTTAGCAGTTTTTCAGCCTTTCAAGTATTATATCTATATATCGGATCATATTCTGAAAGTTTAAGGTCTTTTTGAAGGATTTCCTCTCATGAATTGGGCAGATCACCTTACTTTAATGCGGAATCTTAGTAGGAGATGGAAAATAATTACTATATAGTACTTGTTTTGCAGAAATCACTTTGACTCTTATTCTTGTCTCGACTAACAGAATGTGACACTACTGATATTTCTAAAATGTCACAAGATCATAACAAAATCTTGTCATTTAATCCTACAGAAACGTCTTTTATAAAATTTTTAATTTTTTAATAGCTATAATGAGATATAGGTTATAAAAAAAACGGTTCATCTTATTTCGAACATCTGTTTAACACTGAGCATGAACGTTCAACATAGTTCAATATTGAACTAAATCTGTGTTTTTATCCATGGATCATGGATAAGTAGATAATTTCGGTGAACAATCAAATAATCTATAACGTCATTGTTTTCTACCCATTTTCTCTTGATTATACTCAGTTGCTACTTCTCCTCATTTCTTATGTTAAGAAGAAACTTGTGTCACCTGGCCTCGTCGTCAATAAATGAACGTTTTATCAATATCGACAGAATCATAACAATTGTCATGTTTTTACAGCAAAGATCTATAGCATCTACATTCTAACTATTGTAGTTTGTGTAACGAGGGAACCTCTCAATGTGACAAAACGCTTTTTTCTCGGAATCTTGTGGGTTGTGGGTTATGGGTTATCGACCATGTTGATTCTGAATATGACCATAGGGATGGCCCTTGGCCACTCGAAGACTCGATTTTCTTGAAAACCAGTTTTTCAGAAACTCTAAAATATAACCAGAACCTTTCTTAATGAATCATGATTGTAGCCTGCAAATTTGTGATTAAAATGAGACCTCTCCCAGCTCTACACCGCCTTTCTTTGCAAAGTTATAGAATTTACAATAAAAGCTTTAAATTACTTTTTTCCTTGAACTGACAATGAACATGCAGTCTGAATGATTCAGGGCTTTTCTTGTAAATTCTGTAACTTTGCAAAGAAAGATCGTGTAGAGCTGGGAGATGTCTCATTTTAATCATAAATTTGCGGGCTACAATCATGATTCATTAAGAAAGGTTCTGGTTTTATTTTAGAGTTTCTGAAAAACTGGTTTTCAAGAAAACCGAGTTTTCGAATGACCAATGGCCATCCATATGGCTTCCATTCAGAATCAGCATGATCGATAACCCATAACCCACAAGATTTCGAGCCAAAAGCGTTTAATCACCTCGAGAGGTTCCCTCGTAAGAGTGTCCAGTTCGTTTGTATATCATATTGGCAAATTGAAGTAAATTACAACCTTGACTTGATAATCTTGACATTATGCCACAATGAGCGACAATAATAATAGATGCTATGTATGAGAACAGCTTCACAATTGTACGCACCATGATAGTAGGAGAAAAATTTTCTAACTAGGTTTTAACTGATGTCCAAATAAGATATTTGTTTAGTGATAATTGACTACATGTTAGCGGAAAATCTGTACTTTTATTGCCAAAAAAATGATAATGATCGTTGTTTCGATAGAAAAATGAGAATGATTTCGATAACATAATAAATAATATTATTTGCATTAATTTTATACATATTTTATACTATAGTTTAAACATACGTTTCATCACGTCTTTGATAGAAGTGAATGTTTGGTCTATTCTTCTATTCGTAATTTTTAAAACATAATTACTGTTAATCGATTAAGAACTTGAAAGCAAGGTTTTACTCGCATAATAAAACTATATAAATATGAGCCATTAATAGTTTTTGTAGCTAATCATTAAGCGTTATGCATGAACAAATACTAAAAAAAAAACATTCATTTTTTTGGAAAATGTAATTTTCAATTTATGAAAAAATGTTTAATGTGAAAAACTACTGAACAGTTTATTCGAATGATAACTATAGAAGTATTATTTTTGTCTCTTCACATAATATAAAATTTGGTTATTGTAATGATCATCATTTCCATTGAACACGTTCATGATAAGCTTCTATTAAGTACATTTTTATTATATGTACTTTTCTTTTTCTCTTACGTATAATAATACTAATACTACTAATAATAAATCTTTACATGGTTCATCATTGTCAGTATAAACGAAAAAAGCATCTCGTCATATGACATAATTTTTCTCTCTCTTTTTGCCTAGCAGGATGATAGGATATTTTGCTATGCTTGACTACTTCAGAAGTTTTCTTTTGTTTTTTATATCAAAACGAATATTGTACATCATGTAAATAAATAGTACAAGTATTTGAACAAATATCTTCCATGTAGTATGACAGAACTCAATCAAGAACAACAACAATTAAATAATAATAATAAAAATAATAATGTTGATATACAACCACCACCACCATCATATCCGAGCGTTGTTTATAAAATAGACGATATCTATTCTAGACATGGATATGATGGACCACCACCATCTTATATTGAACATTATCCATATGCCGAACAACATTCGAATTATCCTGGACCACCTGATAGTCAAATATCAGGGTCGACAACAAATGTTATTACATTCTCACTGTCACCACCATCAGTGCCAAGTTCATTGCTAAAAAAATTACAAAGTTACTTAGTCATTAATGGAATTATTACAACTCTATTCGGAGTTACTGCAATCGGCTTACAAATTGGCTTATTAGCTTCAAATGTTATTGTCTATTACTATTATGGATTTTGGGCCGGTACTTTGGTATTCGGTGTTGGTTGTAGTACTTTAGCGATGGTTGCTCGTGCACGAACAATAGCTGTTCAAAAATTATTTCGTGCTTTTGTATGGCAGATGATATTTGTAGCAATTGTACTTGCATTTGCCATCATGATTGTTGCCACGGATATGTGTAATTCAGATAAAAGAAGTCATAGTACTCTTTATTTATGTAATAATTCGTCACAAGTATTAAATGCATTATTAATTACGGTATTCGTTTTAACTCTACTACAAGCAATTATAAACACCATTGTTACTGGATTTGTCGAACGAAAAACACAATTAAATGCTTCATATATAATATCATCAAATAATTATGTACAACAAGCATAGAATAGAAAGAGCGAGAGAATCAAATTTCTATTTAACGGAACTGTATACATCTGAAGAAGAATTTTTCTTCGCTGAAATTGGCAATATAGGATAAATTTTTGGTATGATTAAGATGGAGTTTCTCTAGATGTTAGCTAGAGATCGATGATAATAAACTCACCTTCAATTTGACTAACTTTTAACATCTGTTGTACGACATGGTGAGTTGAGTATAAAATGACCGAAGAAAATATTATTCGTTTCGTTTTAACATACACATTCTGAAAATGACATTCGTATTATATAAGATGACATACACCAAATAAAAATTACCGATCACGAATCTGATGCTAGGTGAAAATACATAAAAATAAACACGACTATTTTTTTCATTTAAATTCACTTAACATAAGTTGAAACTAATATGAAATGCTTTAGCATCGAATAAAATTTAGTGTTATATTTTGTATCGGAGGTACATTGCGCTGAATCTAGATAAATGAACCCCAAAATTGAAAGTATTTTTGCTCAGATATATCGATGCAAGTTAATTTTCAACATTTTTTTTCGTGTAGTGCGTGCCATCTTTCACAAAAAAAATTCAATCTCTTTTTATCTTATTTTTCCATGTTTTTATAGACTTTTTTTTGTCAAACAGAAGTTTTTGTCGTAGAGTTCTTGTGTTTGACAGTTTTGTGTTCATGATACACACATAGCAAATGAAAGATGAGATACGAACCGTATGTAGACATAGAATATGGCACTACAGATTCAGTTAACAAGGAACTAAAAATAGATATAGTTAATAGTTTTTGAATGAGAATTTTTCTATGCACGGTTTGCTGTTTTCCGTGCTGTTTTGAAGAACGCGATTAATCTATATCCTACTATTTGATTATTAACTTTTCTTTATCATCAAAAATACAGCATGTAACTATTTAGAAATAAAAACTTCTTTTAGTATTCCCACCAAATTTATGATCGGCTTAATGCTTTTCCTGCCTTTTTTGGACGTCCGCGCCTTTTTTCTAACACTTGTAATTTAGCTGAATAATTTTTGTTTAAAGAAAAAATATTTGGAGTGTATTGAGAACTGTGTGAGTTGAATTAATTCTCAAAGAGATAAACTTCACTCTACATCAATTTTCAAAATTTATCATACATTTCAGTCAATAAGCCTCATTTGTATTAAACGAGACGTCTGTTCATAAATTATCGTATTTGTTTAGGTTATCTGCATGTAAAACGAAAATATCTTTTACTAGTTGAAAAGCCGTACACAAAAATGTCAAAAGGTTTTTTAATGCATGGAAAATAGCAAACTGTGCACAAAAAACATCTTTCTCATAGTTTTTGAATGAATCTAATGATGAGTTTAAAGCTTCTCTCTGTAATACTTATTACTAGCTGAACGTATCATAGTCTAACTCTAGAAACAAATCTTGCCTCAAAATTTAGCATCGAAAATGTTAAATAATGGTTGTAAAATGTAAAATACTGTCGTAAAAACTATCCAAGTTTCTTACGAATCAGAGTTTCATATAGCAGTATGTTGATGAATGTGATATGCATTGACGACTTCCAGCGAGGCAATTGCCGTTCCTGGAAAAAATGTTAAAAAGACCATATAGCAGTTATTGCCGTGTGAAGAATTATATCAGCAGTGTAGTTTTGTAAAATTGGAAGTAAAAAACAAGAAGAACAATGTTTGAATTGCAAAATGACGTATGTCTCTATAGGAAGTACGTTTTTGAATGTATCGTGCCAGAAAGCTTATTGACGTCGCCCTCTCTTAGAAAAAGTTTTCCGGCTCGTCCAGGAGGGTATATCAACAATAGAATTTTCGGAAGACTAAAATTTCAGGAGACTAACACGCGTATTATTCTTGAACATCAGTGAATGAATGTCTCTGATTAATACAACACCAAATCATTAATAACAAAAAAAGAAGAGTGTTTTTACTTTTCCTGCTATGCTTTTTTCTATGAAAAGCAATTTCTCTTGTTATTATTTTTTAATTTTTCCATCTACGTAAGTTTTAGAAAACGAGTGGGACTCGATAGGAGTATTTTCAATTCCATAGGTGTCTTATTTTTGTTACCATACATAATAAAAAGAAGAAAAAATGTCTCATATCGTCATTCAACAAACATTGTCTCTCTTCACAATACAGAAAAATCTTCCACATTCTTTATGTACGCTTTTGTTTCTATCGTTTGAAATAATTATTTATAATATGTAATGTTAGATTCGAAGAGAAAGGAACAATTGCATGAGTGTGATTAATACCAAAAAAAAACTATTTAATACATTGTTAAGAATTCCATAGAAATGATGATAGCAATGTTTTAAGTAATTTCTACTTCAAAATCGATAATTCATTATATTTTTCTTGTACAATTATTTTAGTCTATCGTTACCTCTATACGGTAAGTTATCTGAAGAGGTTTTATAGACATCAATGTAATTTCAGACACGATTCTAGACTAATATAGCCATATATTTTTTCAATCGATTATATCGGCAATGAAACGACTTTTATCCACTATAAATTTCATTTTCACCTCTCACTGATCAATGCAGACAAGGCATAAAAATTACCCTATTAGCATGCAATTGTTACAGTTCATAGAAAGTTTATTTACTCTAACTTTTTAAAAATATTTTCGACTCACTGTACACACTCAAAAGACGTGTTTTTCCCAAATTTCAGAGAAATTAGCAAAAACAGACAACCTAATTAAATTTTGTAGCGTGACCATCATTTCACTTATACAGAAAGATCTTTTCTTATTTTTGACCGAATTTTTAAATTTACACTTCATATATTACAATTTATAATTTAAAAATGCGATAATTTCTAGCTCTCCACGTCTTTTTTCGTTTAATAGATATGACAAATTTAAGATTCTACTTTAAAAGACTAGAAAAATTTAAAATTCTAACTTTGATAAATTTTTCTTTTCACTTTGTTACTTAGAAAATTCTTTTATATATAAATTTCTATAGAACAAAGTGTTTTATTCGAAATGAGATGTTTCTGAATTAATTTTTTATGATTATTTTATAGAGTAAGACTCAGTTGCATAAAAATCAGTTGTTGAGACTGAAAGCTTTATAGTCAGGCTATAATGTATTTCTCTCAAATAGGAGAAGTCTTCTTTGTTTCATACCGTTATAAACTTTAGTGACATTGATCTAATTAAGCTGGAAATTTCATCACGTACACTTGAGAATATTTCTAGGGATTTTCTTCTTTATTTTTTGTCTCCTTTCCTTTCAAAGATATAAAGAATCTCGCAGAAAGCAAAAAAGGTCACGTACAAATGTTATTAAGAGAGAATCCGCGAGAAAACCGACTACATCAGCTGGAGCTAAAATTTTTTTTTTCTGTTAGTACTCTAGTTCGAAAGCTCATCGGAAAACTAAGAAATCCAAGATATCTCGCCTTCGTATGGCACTGTTCATGAATTAGGAGGTCTTAACTTTTCAGTCATCACCAGACACTCCATTTGTGGATGAAATCAATGTTTCTTTAATATCTTAGAAACAGCTTGATCCTTACGGCTCGTTCACATCTCATATGAAAAAGAAATGTTTGGTCTACCAAATCACTGCAAAAAGGTACAGTGGAAGGTAACATCCTGGGCGACCACAAGGCAAAAACTGGAAAAATCGCTTTTTCTCAACCATACTTTTTTTTAATATTTTGGATCTAGAAATCGCGAGTCCAGCTTGACCAAAAAATAAATTATATTATTTCGTATGGCTGATAATTCTTCATCGATTGATATGTAAAAGAAAATTTTATATCACTAGGAGGAGGTTTTTTGGAGAGGTACAAGTAGGGAGGTGTTGTGCATTTATGGAGACGATTTTCAATAATTCATTATTTCTTCAATTTTTTTCGGTGCTTCATGTCAAATTCGTAATCTGCGTATGATTCCCCGTATCAAACTGACTCTAGAAATATTATTTAGAGTCTGATTCTATATCATATGGCCAAAGCAAAAATTCATAATCAACTAATTGCAACAAATTTTGCAAACCTATTTAGCTTTTCTGTTAACGGACGGAGCCGTGATTTACACCGCATTCGATTCGTCTTTACACGGACAAAAAAAGTACACAGACCTTTTCTTGAAATTCCTTTCCACTGCTGACAAAATTCATTTTTTCTGAATAAGATGCGAAAAATTTGCAATTGTGCCCATAATTCTCAATTTTCTTTATCAGAACTCAAGTTTTATGCAACAAAAGTATCATATTCGGAATCAGAATCAACAGCTCAGTCGAATGATGTGCATTTCGAAACGTTTAGCTGATTTTCATTTTTTGTGGAAAAATCTCGATAGTTTTTTCAACGCGAAAATTCCCCAAAAGTTAAAGTAGTCAGATATGATCCAAATGCACATCATTCGACTCAGCTGTTGATTCTGATGTTCAAAGAAAAAAAGCACTTTTTCCTAAGCTCAGTTTTGATATTAGAATCCAAATATGAGATAAAAAGTATATGTCAGTTTTTCACTCATGACCGATCTTTGGCAAGATACTTGATCAACTGGAGAAGTTTGTCTTAATGAGAAAATAGTGCGAAAGCATGTAATCTGTTGATAATAAAAGAAAGAATAGCGTGAGAAAAATTGTGTGTGTAATAGTTAGAAAGAGAAAAGAATAGATTTTCAAGTTTCGTCCAAAAAGAGAGAATTTGTTTTGAACGTATACTGTGTGATCATATAGACTTTGATAAAGGTTACATCTTTTAAAGCGATTCAGTTATTTATTTATTTTCTGGTTGATTATCTGAAGATCTTTCGTAGTTTATCAACAAGTCCATCACCAACGATTTTTTCTGTTTCTTGTAATAAATTGACAGTTCCATCCGGTTTCAATGAATCAAACCAACCTGGATACCTATCTAATACACTGCCTATTTGAAGAAGTTTTTTGTTGTTATAGAATTGCCCACCATTGTTTTCCGTCATCCTTGATATTTTATCCAATAAAACCTTGATTGTTTCGTCTTGTTCATCAGCACTTAGTGTATTATCGACGGCAATATATCTACCCTCACATTTTGCTATCAGATTTTGTAAGAAAGCTGGGGCATCTTGAAGAAACTCTTCAACAGTTATTCTATCTCTTTTAAGGCCATCTAAACCAGTGAACACAATAATGCAATAATCAAGAGCTCGCTCATCAAATACTTCAGTTATCCATTTTGATGCTGCTGCTTCTTGTGGTGTGAAACGATCGAATTGAAGAACAATTAGGAAAACATCTGGACCTGGTGCTGCAACTTGGTGAGCACTAGAAATTTCTGGTAATATTATTTCTGGGCCAAGTTCTGTGTCAAAAAATCCTGGTGTATCAACCACCACCAATCTTCTATTATTAAAAATTCGGTCACTGACTCCACACTTTGTAGTAATAGATTTTGCAGATTTACGTGCTCTAAAGTATGTTCTTCCTAATATTGTATTTCCAAATGAGCTTTTTCCTATCAATAGTGAAAGCGAGAATATTTATTTCGAAGAAAGAAGATCATCTTAATTCTTACCTGTTCCAGTTCTCCCAAGCAGCACCATGCGAACTTCGGGTATCAAAAATAAATGAATGTACGTTTCTATTGTTGTTTTTTCCACTTTATCAATTCGAAATGTGGTTCCAGGGGGTAAGAGTACTTCTTCTTCATCATAGTGTGAAAATGATGATATATCTAACCCACCAGTAACACTGGCATCGATAATAAACAAGGTTTTTCCAAAATTTTGTGCTTTTGAGGATTTTTACTCGTTGAAGTAAACCCATACCAAAGTTTATACGTGCCTATCCCTTCTTTATAAGCGCGAAGCGTCCTTTTGTCTATGTGTACACTACGATAGAGTACCGTTTTAATTCGCGCATGCAAACCACCCCAAACGGCTTCCGTTAAAAAGTAACAATATGGAGCCAGTGTGTCTACTTTGGTCGTATCGTTTTCTCGCAATGCTTTATTCACTAATTTATATAGAAAGCATTCCAATGTATAGAGCCGAATGCAAGTACTAAGAATTTCCTTTTCGCTCTTATTTTCTGTGGCTCTCAATTGCCCCGCCAAATATTGTGACGCGCAATATTGGCCTAGTTGCTTCCCTTCCACTATTATTCCATTAGCGGCTTCGTTAAGTATCTCACTGTCTGAAAGCGTTTTGTTTCTTTTCTTCCAATCATAAATAAAAGCAATCCCTCCCTCCAATCCCGACTCGCTGAACGGCTCACCTAATTCTGGTGTAAGAAAACGTCTTTTTCTTACACCTTCGTTTTGATTTCTATTAATCAAAATTCGCTTTATCTGTCTTTGTTTATTTTGGTCGTGTTTATTAATTTGAATAGAATCCTTTACATTGATCCAGTAATTATCCAATTCAGCCAGTTTTGGTCTGCTTTCTCCATTAAAGGCCGCTTCAATAATTTTTGATTCGATATCAGAATACTCTGTCCATTCTTCTATTTCATTCGCCGAAAATCGGTCGGAATTCGATTTCCAGTACCACTGAGCCTGTAGTAGATCAACAGTTGATCGACTACAAGCTCGATCGTCAACTTGTTTCTTCGCTAGACTTTGATCAGAGCCCATACACCTGTTTCTCATATGTTTATGGAACTAAAGAAGACGTTCAAAAAATATCGAGAATCTTGTGTACCAATTCGGTTCATCGGCTAAAAACGCGTACTCCACGGTTGACTTGCGTAACCGCAGTCAACAGTTTTCCAATCGTATAAGCAGTAAGAGCGTGGATCGAAATCTCTTTATATACTCTACATATAGTCTTGGAAACTGAGCATGCTGGTTACTTTTGCCTAAACTAGCTTCTTTTCCTGCCTTGTGCGCTAACTGAAAAGTGATGCATACACAGGAAATAAAATATGTTTGTATTTTTATTGCTGTCTGTTATTAAAGTTTGATCGTGCACGATGTGATCATTATTGATCAACATCAAGCTTTTTTTAGCTACGATATCATCAGATAATGACTTTAATTCTTCATTGATTTTGCGATTCGTGTTGCTTCTTTCGTAATTTTATCGCAACAACAAGCTATTACTTTGGTAGACATAACGAGAATACTTACGTAACGTTTACAAATGATAGCTATGCTGTCAAAAGAAAATCGTACGGCACTTTATTCTATTGATGCACCATTTCGAAAGAAAGTCACGAGAACAAAAGGAATGTTGAAGCCAGCAAGAAGTTAAAAATGCTGGAAAAGTTTCATATTTCTTTTTTCCTCACCTTTCCTATCGTAAAGTAAGTAAAAAATACAAGCAATTATTATGTCTCTCTCTAAAAAAACGTTGATGTTGATGAATAGTGACCACATTGTGCACCATCAAACTTAAATAACAGACAGCAATAAAAATACAAACATATTTTATTTCCTGTGCATGCATCACTTTTCAGTCGCCGTACAAGGCAAGAAAAGAAGGTAGTTTAGACAAAAGTAATCATCATGCTCAGTTTCCAAGACTATTTGTAGAGTATATAAAGAGATTTATCGCAGTCAATCCACGCTCTTACTGCTTATACGATTGGAAAATTGTTGACCGCGGTTGCGCAAGTCTTTCTGCAGTTAGTCGGACTGAGTGCACAGTTAAAATTAACTTTAGGTATGACTGGAGCAGGGCAAGCCTGTGAGACACCGAGTCCAACTCCTTAGAAACACAAAGCCAGTCCGAGTCCTGCGTCCATTTGGATTCCAGCAATTTTTTTTCAATTTTTTTTAACTGCTACGTACGTGCCGTGCATTTTTCAGTTTTAAAAAACAGTTAAGAAAACGTGCCACGACATTACCGAGAACGACATTACAGACAACGACAGTACCGCGAACGACAGTACTGCGAACGAGAGTACCGCGAAGACTCGCTTATTGGGCATTGTAAGAGTGGGTTCGAAAAGTATTTTCACATTTGACATTTTATCAAAATCTTCCTTTTTTCAGTTAAATGTTTTTAATGAAAGTGCTTTTTTCCAAAATAAGACTGTTATAGATTATTCATATATTATGCAGACGAGAAGTAGTTGCAGTGCGACTGCTTTTTATGCCTATTACAAGACACCAATCTGCTGTGGCAGCAGCATTTGGTGTCTCGAAGTCGTCATCTTCTCAAAGCCTCTCCACTAATTCCACTGCTACTTCACAATCAAACACCACATTCTTACTTCTACTTCTGATTCCCTCTCATCAACGCCAGTCGACAAAGCTACGTCACTGACGTTCTTCACACCAACTACTAAAACAAAATTGAGGTTAACAAATTATTCAACGTCTACAAAAAATTTTAGTCGAATTTACATCCTGACCGGGATATAAGACACTTCTTCGTAAAAATTTCGTAGATAGAGACTTCTTCGTAAGAGATTTCGTCGTAAAAACGATTAAAGGAAAAATTACCACGTTTTGGGGTAAACTGGACATCACCATTAGAAACGGCTCGAAAAACTAAACATCGAATTCTGTTGTGTTTGACCAAAAGTGTGAAAAGAAAAAAATTTTTAACAAATTTTAATCGAATTTATATACTATTGAGAGATAGGCGGTTAATCTTTTATTGCTCATAATTGGATATTCTCTTGATCTAATCGCTTTCCACGCCGACCGTCTGCAAATTACAAGCATTTTCCTGGAAGTCCTAAAATTGAGTATTTCGTGCAGCGTTTTCTCTATTTAAGAGCTATGCGCGGGATTCAAATCTGAAAAAGTAGCACAAACCAAAAAGAAGTTATAAAGGTTTTTCTGAAAACGAAAATTTTTGCGGTTTTTGGTCTTTTCCAAGATTTTTGATTTTTCTCCGAGAAAACGACCTCTAAAATATTTTCAACTATCTAAAATACTTTTTTTGTTGGCTTTCAAGTGAGGTCTGAAACCTCGAAAAACACTCAAGAGTGTGTAGAATTATTCATTCTATCCACAACATGTCAATTGAGTTTTAAAATAATTATTTTTGCATCAGTTTTTGGCTAAAAACTGAAAAAATTAATTTCTTCTTATTTCTGTAACTGTGAGCTGACAATGAATATTTAGGGCTTTTCTTGTAAATTCTATAACTAAACAAAGGTCGTGTAGAGGTGGGAGATGTCCCGCTTTAATCAGAAATTTGCGGGCTACCATTGTATCTTATTAAAAATAGGTTTTGATTATTCTTATTGATTATTGAGTTCCTGAAAAACTGATTTTGCAGAAAACAGGGTCTTCAAGAGTCCGCAACTTTTTTCGTTTTTTCAAGTCAAATTTGAAATTAGCATGAAAAATTGAATCGATCTATGTGTTACTCTCAATTGATGGAGACTTAGCTATGGCTTAAAAATAGTGATCAAATGATGGATTAGTCTAATTTAAGTCGCTTTTTCAGTTTTTAGCCATAAATTGATGCGAAACTAATTATTTTAAAACTCATTTGACATGTTGTGGATAGAGTGAATAATTTCTACACACTCTTGTGTATTTTTCGAGGTTTCAGATCTCACTTGAAAGCCAGCTGATGGTTCAAAAGTGAAAGATGTCTTTTCAAAAATCATTCAGTTTTCATTTTCCTTGATGCTTTTAAGTAAAATCAAGGACATCTTTGGAATCAACGTTGAATTCTGATTCTACTGATGTGTTTTTCTTCCATTTTTGAGGGAAAATCTTTTTCGAGACCCTCAAAATTTTCGAAAAAGTTGAAAGTAGTGTTTTGGAAAAACTGAAGCGGCCATTTTGTTCAGTTTTCGACGCTGATTACAGCTATGTACTTTTTTTCTCGCAAATTATTTGGAATGAAAAATCCACTTATCCACACTTGCCCTTTAAAAGGATAGTCGTTCAGATTAATTTAAAAAACCTTTATGCGATCAAAATTAATGCACATCAATTTAAATCTTTGAATAAATATTAAAAAGAATCATAAAATTTAATTCAAATTATTGCAAATTAATTTAAAAAAGGAAAAAAATTGAAATTAATTTGAATTGATTTTTTCGTGAAAAATTAATTTCCATCGTAACCGCATTACATAAAGTCTCATATTAAATTAAGTGACACGAATTTCGAATTAGTTTACATTAATTCGAAAATTGTATACTAATCTGAAACTTCAAATTAATTTGAATTAGTGCTTCTGCAAATTCCTTTAACTCAATTTAGTAATAAATCGATTTGGAGTCATCTGAAAGAAAACAATTCAAAACAGTTTTCAATTTCAAATTAAATTAATTAATTTAATTAATCTGAATTAATTTTTTAAGGCTTTTCGGTGTTAATGTCCTACCAAATTAATTTAAACGAATTTGAAGTTTGGTTTAAATTGGTTTGGAACAGTATTAATCCAAAATATTTTTAAATGAAAAATTGTTTAGAACTATTATTTAAATTGATTTACATGGGAGTTAGTCTACGTCGATTTGGATGAAGTTATTTTAAACTACTTGATGAAGATTTCAATATTTTTTTCAAAAAGAATAAAGTTCAGATAGTATATTTGTTATAGTTAGAGACTAACTTTCCCGAAGGAAATTTTTGCGAGGAGAGTCCAATGGCAGTCTTAGAAATACTTGACAATTTTTCTAAACCGAAATAAGGATCTATTTTGGTTTCGAAAAACTTGAAATTAATTTACATTAATTTTGGATACAGAAATTCGTTCAGATTAATTTTGGATTTGAAATTAATTTCAGTTTATTTTTCTTATTATTTCTTATTAGTATTTTATTAGTATTTTTATTAATTTATTTTATTTTTTCATTTAAATCAATTTAAATAAATTAGTTATTACAAATTGATTTTAACTTTTGATTTAATTTTTCTGCACACACAGTTTCGTAGAGCAAACGTTTCTGACTGAAATAAGATCTCGCACAACTTTGTATGACATTGCATCAAAAAGTTACAGGCATTTTCCTACAAGTTCTAAAATCGAGTATTTCATACAGCGCTTTCTCTATATAAGAGCTATGCCTGAAGTGCGGCCCAAGATTTTTAATAGCAGTCTGTCGTAGAGAGTTTGTTCTTTTTTTGTTTAAAAGAGGAAAAAAAACTACATTGACTGACCAGCGTCGATTTTTGAATTAGGTCTTAGTTTTTTGTCAAACTGAGGATTTTTCGAGTTTTGGAGGTTGTAGGTTGCCTGGAAAACCAATAAAGGCTTAATTGAAAAATCGGCGCCGGTCAGTCCATGTAGTTAGGTGTCTAGTTTAAAATAAAACAAACCCGAACTCTCCAGCTTGAAGTATATTAAAAAATCTTGGGACGGACTTCAGGGTCCTTTTTGGACCTTGATCACTAGAAAACTCCTAAACCGTAAGACTTGGAGTCAAAAGAATTTTTTCATTTCCGTAACTCATTGTGCCTAACATTTAAGGAAAGTTTCGTCAAGATCGGATGTACGGTGTCGGAAATAATTTCTGAGGGAGGCCCTTAAATTAATTTACGAACAGAAATTAATAGAAATTAATTTTGTTTAAAGCACTTCAAAGAAATTTGTGTATAAATTAAGTTAAACTGATTTCCACTAACCAATTGGGTGTCCTCTCAGTTCGTCCCAAATTGGCTTTGTAAGATCAAACAACATCAAAGGGGTGGGCAGGTGTGAGAGTGAGCAATTT